ATCAACATCGTGCAAATCTGGACTTGCTGATTATGGCTCCGAGGAAATAGGAGGTCTGTGAAAACAAAATGTACAGCTATGATCGGTATCCATCCGTATCCATTTCCTTTTACCGCAGAATGAAAGCATATTCATTAAATCTTACCCTTGCTCCGGTTCATAGCGCCTGCAATTAGTCTCCGAGTTGTGAAGACGGCGTACTGCTTCCTGTGAATCACAAAAAATACACTTTAATAAAGCTTGTTCTTGCAAGGCTACTATTAGCCGTAGCTTTAGGCTAGGCTGTTATTAGCCGTAGCTTTAGGCTAGGCTGCTATTATCCGTAGCTTTAGGCTAGGCTGTTATTAGCCGTAGCTTTAGGCTAATGTGAAATGTTATAATCATGAATCACTGGATGAAAACTTTGCTCTGAAATATTAATGACTAAAATATGATGTGTTTTTGATTTAATGGCAACATATGTTATCATGACCTATAAGAAATGTAACCATAACCTGTAATAAAGGGTCTTTGATTAAATATATAAAAAATATGTTTTGAAAAGGACTTTCCCCCGGTAGAATAAAAATAATTGGATTTAACCGAAGAAAATGCATCTAAAATAGTGAAAAGAAAGGAGGGGCTTGGGGGAGGAGCCCCTAACAGCCCTGAATGTATAAAAGAGAAGCTGTTTCAACAGATAGTTAGTTGTTTGCCGGCAGTCAACTCATGTGTGATTCTTTGTATTTTGCAATAAATCACATTGGACCTGGACTTCAGCTGCTTCTGCCTGATTTTTGGTTTTTGTTTGAAGATTTTTCTGCCTTTTAAGGACTTTGAATTTTTATAAAACTTAGCTTCAATTTTAAGTCGCTGGAAGAGGTTTTCCCACGACATAATTGGCGAGCCAGCCAGGAGAGGGGCTTCAGGCGTCGGACGATCTGCAGGCACCAGTTGGAAGGCGTGGAACCCCAAGGGCCCGAAATTTACCATTGAAGGTGAGTCAATTCATTATAATTTTCTAAATTAGCGGGGAACCAGCCTCCGGCGACTGCCTGTGGGTGTCAGGCGTCACAAAGCTCTTCTAAAAAAACCTAGTTTTCCAAATTTAATAAAGTAATTTCCAAATTTGATAAGAATTTATATAAGAACATATAAAGGCAGACTAAGCTGAGGAAAGGTCCAGGTATGTATGAGTATATGTGAATGCATGGATTAAGTATTAATTGATGTTTATATTAATCTGTATTTGAACTGTTCTGTGTTGGAATAATTTTGTGAATAAGTCAAGCTTAACAGATGATGTTCTGAGCGGACAAGTGGTAAAGGGACAGATTGGTCAAAGCGTTTGACATAGTCTATGGAAGCCATAGATCCGGAACATTAAA